TGCCTTGTTTCATTGGAAAGGCTATTTTAAACCATGCCTTCCAATCCCCACAGACACACTTTTGAATTAAAAATAAGATTGAGCAAAAGCGATGGCCTTGTTGAGAACACACCAAGATTCCTTAGGACATGAGCACGAGTGGGCTGAGAGGGTAGCCCAGTGGCTAAAGTTCTTGCTGTGCACGATGAGGGTTTGAACTTGGATTCTCAACACCTGTCATGGTATGCTTGTAACGCCCAGCCACCACCCCACCCGGCACTGAGGACTGAAACAGGAAAACTCTGAAGATTTTCTGGCCAACTAATGTAGCCCTAACAGCAATCTCCAGGTTCAGTGAAAGACTATTTCAGAAGAATAAACAAAGTGTACAATTATAGAGGAAGACATCCTACATCAACCTTTGACCTCCACACGTGCACATATGGTTGAGAGTAGTGTATACACACGCACACACACACACACACACACACACACACACACACACACACCACTTACAATCAGAAAATAGGTAGCTTTTGTTTTCTTTTAGAAATACAAGTGTGGGTGGGAGAGGAGAGTTAGTCCTTGCTATGCAAGCATGAGGACTTGGGTGCTGGTCCCCAGCTCTCATGTAAGGAGCCCAGTGTGCTGACAACACCTGCCTTCCCATTGCAGCACTGGACACAGGAGGATTCCAGATGCTTGTTGATCAGCCAGCCTGGTCCTTGGTGAGCTCCAGGTATAGTGAGAGACCATGTCTTCAAAACTACATTAGAGAGTGATTAATGGAGATACCCTGGCACACTCATCCACACACAAGGGCATCCATGGAAAAGGAAGTGTGGAACTGGGGGAGCTCAGTTGTAGAATGCATGCTTAGCATGTATGAGACCCAGGTTTTGTCATTGCTGTGACTTGACCGGGCAGCTCCACAGTGTGGGATGATGAGCAGCCATTGGAAGCTCATCATCTGCTTTCATTAAATGTGTGTGTCCTTGGGACAGTTGCAATCCCTGTCTGAGCCCAGCAGGGCTCACTGGAAAGTGGTCACAAGCGCCACTGTCAGCTGCAGGCCTGGCAGGACTGTGTCACTCAGCATACAGGCCCCTGTGTCACTCAGCATACAGGCCCCTGTGTCACTCAGCATACAGGGCCGCAGGACTGTATCACTCAACATGCAGGGTCCACAGGACTGTGTCACTCAGCATACAGGGTCCACAGGACTGTGTCATTCAGCATACAGGGCCCTGTGTCACTCAGCATACAGGGTCCGCAGGACTGTGTCACTCAGCATACAGGCCCACAGGACTGTGTCACTCAGCATACAGGGCCGCAGGACTGTGTCACTCAGCATACAGGGCCACAGGACTGTGTCACTCAGCATACAGGGCCACAGGACTGTGTCACTCAGCATACAGGCCCACAGGACTGTGTCACTCAGCATACAGGGTCCACAGGACTGTGTCACTCAGCATACAGGGTCCGCAGGACTGTGTCACTCAGCATACAGGGTCCACAGGACTGTGTCACTCAGCATACAGGCCCTCAGGACTGTGTCACTCAGCATACAGGCCCCTGTGTCACTCAGCATACAGGGTCCGCAGGACTGTGTCACTCAGCATACAGGGTCCACAGGACTGTGTCACTCAGCATACAGGCCCTCAGGACTGTGTCACTCAGCATACAGGCCCACAGGACTGTGTCACTCAGCATACAGGGTCCACAGGACTGTGTCACTCAGCATACAGGGTCCACAGGACTGTGTCACTCAGCATACAGGGTCCACAGGACTGTGTCACTCAGCATACAGGGTCCACAGGACTGTGCCACTCAGCATACAGGGTCCGCAGGACTGTGTCACTCAGCATACAGGGACCACAGGACTGTGTCACTCAGCATACAGGGTCCTCAGGACTGTGTCACTCAGCATACAGGCCCACAGGATTGTGTCACTCAGCATACAGGGTCCGCAGGACTGTGTCATTCAGCATACAGGCCCCTGTGTCACTCAGCTTACAGGGTCCACAGGACTGTGTCACTCAGCATACAGGATCCTCAGGACTGTGTCACTCAGCATACAGGGTCCGCAGGACTGTGTCACTCAGCATACAGGGTCCGCAGGACTGTGTCACTCAGCATACAGGGTCCTCAGGACTGTGTCACTCAGCATACAGGGTCCTCAGGACTGTGTCACTCAGCATACAGGCCCCTGTGTCACTCAGCATACAGGGTCCTCAGGACTGTGTCATTCAGCAGCAGTCACCTCACACTGGCTGCTGACTCTGCTGCCTTCCTGAACTCTGGAAACTCAGCGTCTCTGAACACTTGGACAGAGAAACAGAGACCTTCCTTAAGTGACTTGAACAATTGTCTCCTACAGTTATTGGGAGGATATCAAACTAGAAACAGGCCATGAAAGAGCCCCAGAGACCAAGTGTTCATCAGTGACTTTCCACTGATAAATGAATGGTAGCTACTGCCTGCATGTTGGATTTATATAATTCCAGATGATAATGTCCGGTGAATACTCGCATAATACTCACTCTAAGCTATTTTAAATTGAAAAGTGGTTTTGAAAATCAGTGAAAATTTTCAAATATATAATTTTATTCTGCAGATTAAAAACCTGCAGAATTCACCTGCCCTCTTCCTGCAGCAAGGGAAGGAGTCCTGTCTAAAGTGCTTGTAGGGTCTGGGGATACATTTGCTGGTGTTCTTGCTAGAGTAGTTCACCAAGCTATACAAAAAAAGAAAAGTTAGTTGGATTAAGTGCCAGTTAATTTTCATGTAAAAGCAATAGACTTTCAAATAATTCATCCCCAGCAAAAATAAATAAATAAATAAATAAATAAATAAATAAATAAATAAAAGAGGTTGAGTCTTCAGTTTTTTTTCCTAATGTTTTATAATTGTGGGCACAATAACCTGCTTTGTGTAGCATGTATCTTTGTCCAAGTAGAAGCCTTAGTGACCACAGCCCAGACTGTCCATACTGCCTGATGGGTTCTTTGAGGTCCAGGCAGCTGCTGTTGTCACCAGCATGTTGGTCCCTGTGTGTTCATGGTCACTATTCACTCAGAGCAGCTTAGGTGATACCTGATACAAAAAGGCAGCCATGTTTGTGGTTGTGGGTTTGCTTTTAAAAAATAAAGGTCATAAGATTTGCAAACAGTTAGGAAATAATTATACGCTCATGATTTTTTATTAGCGTTTACCTGCCTCGTTGGTAACAAGATATTGTTGCCCCTAAACTAGTCCTTAATTGCTTCCTTAGTTACTTCTCGACAAAGGGACTATGTCCAAAAATGCACTTTAGTATTTATATGTGTATATACATGATGTATATATGTGTATACCATTGCACAAGCCCACGTGTGCATGTGTGAAGGCCAGAGATTGATCTATATCTTCCTCTATTGCTCTGTACCTAGTATTTAGAGACAGGGTGGTCTCTCACTGAACCTGAGGTTGCCATTTCAGCAAGATGGCTGACTAGCAAGTCCTTGGGACTCACCTGTCCCCTCTTCTCCAGCACTGGGGTTACAGTGTCTGTCACTACCTGTGGCTTTCACATGGCTGCTGAAAGTCTGAACTCTGATCCTCATGTTTATATGGCAAGCACATCCCTCACTGAGTTATCACCCCAGCTCTAACGTTTTCATTGGTCCATGGTTCCAGAATGTGGGCAATGGAGCCCTGTCCCCATGGTCATCTCATCATCTCTGCTTCAGAGATGCCATGGGTCTTCTCTGCTTCTTTAGGATACAGCAGATAACAACTCTCTGGAAAGTGTTCCATGTTGATAACTCTTGGGACTGTGTCTCTTAGGTTAGTTAGGGTCAGTGGCTGGTAAAGAGTGTCCTTTTATAGATTCTAGGTCCCAGTGTGTCAGTTGTGAGCAGGGTGTTTCCTCTTTTAGCAAGCCCTTGATTCCTCACCCACAGCCAGACATGACTTTTGAGCATCATTTGTGTGGTAAAGTATCATCATAAATCTGATTCTAATAAGGATCCCAGTTCCTTTGAGCACAGACTGCTAAGACAGCAGGAAGAAAGAGAAACAGTTGTTGTAACAGAATGTCTGAATACCTATAGATCAACACACCCCAATCCCAGGAAATGTACTAGAAAGCCAAAGTGCATTTTTTTTTTCCTCCCAGAGAATAAGCCTGTAGTGTGTTGCCATCTAGTGGAACATATAGAAACTAGAGATTACTGTATTATGGCCATGCAGTTCACAAGAACTGCTCAACAAACTACTGAAAGGCTTTGTTGTTGTTTGTTTGTTTGTTTGTTTTGTTTTGGCAAGAAATTCAGGGGTGAAACCAAGACTGATTGTTAATAGTATTCTCTGAAATAAGTGAATCATACTGTTTTCCAGGGGTGTGTGGGCATTTACCACCAAGGGTTATGGGGTTCTAAACTGATCATCAAGAGGAGGATGCATTCTCATTGCCATTGGCACAGCAGACAGGTTTTTTGTGGGTTTTTTGTTTGTTTATTTGTTTGTCGTTTGTTTTTATCTGAAGTCCGGAATAATGAATGCCTTCATGTTCATAGGATATTTTCATACCTTTCACTATGTGCTTTTTAAGTATCCAATACCTTTCTTGTGTACTTTACTTTTTATTTTAATTTATTTTAGTTTAGTTGCCTCAAAATAAAGTTTCTATTAGGAAGCCAGGAGATGGTGGTGCACACCTTTAATCCCAGCACTCAAGAGGCAAAGACAAGAGAATCTCTGTGAGTTGGAGGCCAGCCTGTTCTACAAAGTGAGTCCCAGGACAGGCTTGAAAGCTATAGGGAAACCCTGTCTCAAAAAACAAAAACAAAAACTTATTAGGAGAAGCATGCACATGCCTTCACAAAAAAAGGTTCAAATTCTAGCCCAGCACCTACAAATGTCCTGTTTGGAGGCTTTAAACATGTGTGCTAGGAAAACCTACATTGTAGGTTGTATTGTGGAATATCTTCTAATCACTGACTGGATTTGTTTGGTTTTTGTTGTTTTGCTGGTATTAGATCACTCCCTGGTGCCACAGCAGCTGAGTGTGCCTCGAATCTGAAGAAACTCTACACTGTGCAAACAGTACAGGTGAGAGTGGGAAGGGACATACTGGGTCACTCAGGTATATTAGACACTGTGTCACCCAACGTGAAATTGTCTATGGCTTTGGCAGCCCTTGCTTAGATTTCCGCTATGGAGTAATTTTCATGGCAACTGTTTATCCATCCACACCAGAGGCAGGCTTTCTCTGGCCCTACCTGGAATTCCATCACCAAAATTGGACAGTGATGTACAGGGGAAGCAAGAGTGAAGATTTTTAAGATGTTCATCCATGCTCCTTGTGTCAACCACACTCTGTCCTGCCTTTGCGCCTTTAAGTTTCTGTGTAACTGGTGTGTAACTGGCATCTACCTCCATCAGTCACTGTGAAGACTAAGTATGATCATGTTTCCACTGTATATGGCAGGATACTTGGTGTTCAAGAGACCCCCCCCAACAAGTTCGTAATTCTATTTGACCTCATCTCTGTCGGTCTCTGTCACGTGTGTGTGTGTGTGTGTGTGTGTGTGTGTGCGCGCGCATGCGCAAGCAAGCATGTAAAGGTCTAACATTCGATGTCATTCCTAAAGTACAGGGTCTTTTATTGGCTCAGAACATGCCTGGTAGATTAGGCCACCTAGCAAGGACCCATTTGTTTCTATCCACAGCTCACCGTTATCAGGAGTAGAAAGGGACACCACTATACCTACATTTTGAAATATCAGTGCTGGCCAGACAGGTAGTGGTAGCACATGCCTTTAATCCCAGCACTTGGGAGACAGAGGCAGGGGATCTCTATGAGTTCAAAGCCAGCCTAGTCTACAGATTGAGTCCAGGACAGCCAGGGCTACACAGAGAAACTTTGGAAAGCAAACAATGCTGGTTGATCAAACCTTTATAAGATTGGTTTAGGCATTTCCCCAGACTTGTTCCTGAAGACAGTTCTCAAACCATGATTAATTTTGTAAATTCCATTCTCAAGCAAACTCTACCAAGTTTCTCTTCCCCAGTGTCCTTTCTAGCTGCACATACAACAAGGCTTTTGGGGCTGCATAAAAAGTCATGCTGGCTGCATGTCCTGGATTTTCTACAAGGCACAGTTTTATAAGCATCCTGATTGTATCCTATGCAGAGCACAGACTTCTCTTTCTCTTTAAGACCCTGCTGCCAGCATCAGGCTTAACAGATTGCACTTTCATACTTACACAGCCCCAGGTGCCTGCTGTCAAGCAGCATGAGTGGCCCCTGTGAACACAACAGAATGGTGTAAGGACAGGCGCAACCACCAGCCTTTTCTCATCTTCTTGGGAAAGTGGCATACACATGAAAAACAAACTAACATTGTTGCCCTAGGGTCATCGTTCAGTGCTGAATGCAATAATGTGGAAGGGCACAGGGGCTGCTCCCCCCAAAACTAGACCCCCCCAACCCAGGGTCTCTGGGAGACCTCCCCTTTGCTTCTGTTTGGTGAATTTGTGAATTTGTAGATTTTTGTTGCTCTTCCAAGGAGCTGCTTTATAAAGCTCAGAGCACTTGATTTTAAGGCCTGCTTGCCTGAGGATACTCGTCCACCCTGCTGGGGTTTTGAGGGATTCCTTCTTCCTCTGTTGTGACTTGAGAGCCTTAGAATGGGAAGCTAGAGAGTTATCTTCCCACCACAGCATGGTAACAGCATATGCTGTTAGTATCCTTCAGTACCAATTTAAAGACCCGGGACTGAGACGCATCAGGACAGACTTTGCTCTAGTGTACCGAGATAATTAGCAGGATCCAGATTCTCCAAGTTTGACTTTTTAAAAGCTGAGGTGCATGTGCCCCTCACCTGCATGTCTTCCTTCACAGTGCTTTCCCATCAGACTTTGAGGTTGCAACCACCATTCCTGTTCTGTTAGTGTTAGCCTTTCCATCTGAGACTTGAGTCAAGTGAAAGCAAGCAGTACCGTTCTCTGCTGTATCTGACCTCTTTGCAGGCAGTCAGTGCTGAAGGCTAGAATGCATGAATGGGAAATGAATTCGTGCATGGATTTTTCTGTTCCCTGAACACTGTTCTCATAAAGCTGTACCCAGTGGCGGCTGCACATTCTCAGTGGGACAGAAATGTGGTTCTTGGGAGGTCCATGGTCAAACTTTAGTCTTGATGTATCTGAAGCACAGATACATGTGCTTTAGATAAACACAGGGTTTCCCTGTGGTTGGAAATTTTTTTTCAGGGTTCCTTTGAGATGGTGGGAGGGGACAGTGATGAAAAAGAGGCAGTGAAATACCTCAAGTTCCTTATTTGTACAATAATATGAGAATGGCATCTGTTCCATAAGGCCGACTGGGGGTGAGACCGTATGCAGCTCTCCATGAGTCTTGTGTTTATAAGCCCTTGTAATATGTTGCCAAGTGTTACTAGTTTACTGGAGCCTGCCCCTTTGCTGGATAGATGTGGATTGGGATTCAGAGAAGTCACACTGAGTGTCATAGCTGGCACTCAGTAACATGCACACATTTCTTATTCACTTTTAAACTTCTCTATATCTTATTTACTCGTCTTCCAAGCAGGAGCAATCGTGACGGATTTTATCATGCTGAGATGAGGATGGGATGGTAAAGTAAAAATGCCCAGTTTGTGGCTGATGCCAATAGTATGCTGTGCCCAATAGTGTGGCTTTCATCCCCTATCTCCTGCGCTGCAACCTTACTGTGAATACCCTCTGTCATAGTTCATGCAAGATTATTATACACCGCAGCTTCACAGTCGCTCCTGCCAAGCAGATGCTCTCAGATGGCACTACTAAAACCCTTTATTTATAAAAAACAAATTTGACTTGTCTGTAACTTTTGGTTACTCGGCTGTGGTTGTCTTTAGCATCTCGGGAATGGTTCTTAGTGCCGAGGAACTAGCAGGGGCAAGAGCATTTGAGCACATAATGACAGGCTTTCCTCCTGCTTTCTTTATTCCTTGTCTGTATCTTGATGTAAATTCACTCTGCTACCATAGCATGTATTTGAACACTTGCCTAATGGTGTCTACACCCTTCCTCGTTATGTTTTGATGAAGTTTTTAAGAACCAAGTGCTGTAACATCAGACACCATCTCTTTTATTACCCTAGGGACTTTCTGCAAATCCAAGTCTCAGGATGGGAGTAGGGGGAAGAATAGTAGAAAATTATTTATCCTCTTTTATGAGCTAGGGAAACTGAGGCACATAACCCAAAGTTGCAGTGGAAACAGCTGCTCATTGACTCTCTAAGGCCGAAGTGCCTCTGCTTCTGGGCCAGCCCTGTTTTCCTTCTCTGTGTGAGGAATGGAGCAGGAGAGGCACCCACAGGGCCCCATGACCTCTGCTCACAATACTTGCTGCAGCTACGGTAATTCTGTGTGAGAGATAAATTTATCAATTGCTTTCTGTCTTTCTTAGAGCACCCCACTTTTCACTTCAGTGTGTTTCCTACTTTTTGGACATATACAGGTTTTGCCCATCTCTGCATCCTCAGTGAGCCAAGTTCAGAACAAAACATGGCTTCTGGGCTTGCCTGATATATGCTGGGGCAAAATGAAGAGCTACCAGTCCAGTGTGATTTGCAAGGGAGTGCTGGTTCGTAGCATGATTTCCAGCATTGCCTGCCTGTAGACTTTTAACTCCACTTCTGTAAGCATTCCTTTACAGAGTTCCACCCCAGCCCTCAGTTGTTTGGGTTATCAGCTTCATGAATTGCCCCTCCAACCCTACCTTGCCTGTATTCTACCCAGGACATCCCATAGACAACCTAGTACTGAAATTTTCAGAGAATAGAAACTGTATTTTTCTGCAAGTGAAATTTCTGTATCATTCCTCATAATCAGAACATCCTCATAAACAGTATGTGTAACCTATTAAAGTTGAAAAATGTGAGCAACCTGGGTAGTGCAATAGTAGGAGAATATGGGCCTAGGAGATGGCTCAACAGGTAAAGGCCTTTGCCACCAAGCCTGACCATCTGAGTTCAATCCCCGGAACCCACAGGATGGAAGGAGAGAACCAACTCCCACAAGTTGTCCTCTGAACTCCATATGTGCAGGTTGTATATACACACAGGAACACACATAGACACACATACATGTATTTTTTTAAAAAATAGCAGTGTATGTCCCTTATCTGGAGGCTAGACTGCCTGATTGTGCTGCTCTGTTAAAGGTCATGGAATCAGGGCAGCAGATTGCTTTCCAAAGCTGGAGGAATGAAGACTGTTCCATTACTGAGGATTTGTCACTCATAATTTAATTTATATACTGTATGCACAATGAAATCAGCATCTATAGTCACAACCGGAACTAGAACTAAGTCAGATTGCTCATGGTCCTGTGTGTGTTGCAGGAGTAGGAGCTGGAAAGTGATGAGGTTTTACATTACGAACTACAAATGATTTAGTCACTTCTCATGTAAAACTTGGGGTCTTCCCATGTTAAATCTTTGGGGAGTACCTGTCTGCCTTTTTCTCTTTTACTTATGAACTGTAGAACACCTGGCACTTGTCACTTACCTGCTGCCTTTGACCCTGTCATGGCCTCAGATCATGATGGCCTCTATTGGGTACACTCCCATCCAGACTTTAGGTCCCACTGCCCATATGCTTTTTATCAATCTCAGGCTCCAGAGTGGGGGGATGGGTAGAAATGTTGTCTGTCCTTACTTTACCTTCCCAGAGCAAGAGGAGCTTTGAGGCTGTGGCAGTCCCCCGAAGTAAGAATACCCCCTTGGTCTGATGGCTCAGTGGTTAAGAACACTGGCTGCTCTCCCAGAGGACCTAGGTTCAAATCCTAGCACCTACATGATGGTTCACAACCATCTGTAACTCCCGATTCTAGGGGATCTTATGCTCTCTTCTGGCGGTCTTTCCACTCATGTGGTACATAGGCATACATACAGGCAAAACACCAGTGCACATTAAATACAAATAAACAAATCTTAAAAATTATTTAATAATTTCCCTGGCCAGTGTGTCTTCTTCCCCTTTTTCTCATTCCCTCCTATATTAGTCAGGGTTCTCTAGAATAACAGAATTTTTAAAATGGATCTCTCTCTCTCTTTTTCTCCACTCCCTACCTGTGTGTGTGTGTGTGTGTGTGTGTGTGTGTGTAAAGAAAATTTATTAGAATGACTTCCGGGCTCCAGTCCAGCTAATCAAACAATGGCTGACTGTGAATGTAAAGTCCAAGCATCCAATAGTTTCTCAGTCCACAAAACTAGATGTCTTAGTTGGTCTTTAGTGTACGCTGGCAACCCAAAGAAGTAGGCTCCAATGCCAGTGAAGGAATGGGTTGGCCAGCAAGGCAATGACAAGTAGGCAAAGAGCAAAAGCTTCCTTCTTCCTTGTCCTTATATAAGCTAACAGCAGCAGGTGTGGCCCAGATTGAAGGTGTGGCTTCCCACCTCAAAGGTCTGGACTGGAAGTGGATTCACCTATTTCAAACTAAGCAAAAAGTCTCTTACAGGTGTGCCCTCCATATTTGATGTCTGATCCTGTCTGCCAACCTCATGTAGGCTTTCCAATTGCTTTCAGTGCACTGTCAATGATTTATCCATGGAGATCTGTGTGGTACTCCTACTGCACATGCATGGGGCTGTGGGGCTTTTGATGGCTGTGTGATGTTTTCTGAGAGGCAATCCCTTAAGTCCAGGTGTTAGACTACATTGGACAAGGTTCTGCTCTGCCTTAGTTCCTCAAGTAGAACAACAACGATGTTAAAAAAAAAAAAAAAAAAACCATCAGTCAGCATGCATGCCCGTGCCACAGCTGTCCTTCTACATTAGCTTAGCTCCATCCCGGTGCAGGATACATGCTAGCATAGCTAACATCCCCAAATGCCAATTGAATGAGTGGTGCCAACATCAATCGATACCTGTGCTGGCCCTTGGGTAATCATTGAGGCTTTGTAGGGTCGGGGAGCACTTAACTATCATTAAGAAGCATCAGGCTTAGCTGTATTCAGTGCTCTGTTGAAGGCCAAAGAGGATTAATTATAAGCCTGATGCCTCTGGAAATGTACTTGCAAAGTTGAAGCTGTAGTAACATTTAGGTGTTACTGAAACAGTCATCGTGAATCATTGAGCTTGCCCTATGTCAGCCCTTTGTGTCCTGCAGGGAAGAGCAGGGTTCCAGGAGTGTCCAATGCTAGTTCCTCCCTCAGGCTCCTTTTCTATCCAGACATACTGACAAGTAGACAACAGAGGAGGGAGGTTTGCAGCAACACAGAAACAGCAGTTCAGTGCCATATGCTTTCTGAACGGGTCCCTTCCCACTGGCACACCTGGATCTTTTGCTCCCATTCTGTGTTCAAGCACAAGTGCGTGCAGTGATAAACAACTTTCCGGTTCAGGCCACCATTGCATCTTGCTGGTCTGTCTTCTTCCTGCCAGGTTTATCAAAGTAAACAAGCTCCGGGATGTTCTTGTTTTTATTCTTCTAAGGCTACAACCCTGAACAGGGTCCTTTGGCCTTTTCTCAGTTTTGAGATAAGACAAATGTGTGCTGTGTGTCATTCTCTAAGTACTTCAAATGCTATACAAAAGGTCAGGGCTGTGGAAGACTGGCGGGGGTGTCAGGGGAGGAGCTTTGAGAGGGTTGACCTTCAGAGCTGAAGTTTGCTATCAACAGCATCCTCCTGGCTTTCCCTTAGACAGGGCTTTTTGGTTTTGCATCATTTTATCCATGGATTCTGCAGAGATCATTGCCATGCCATAGCCAAGTCTTGGGCTAGAATTAAGTGGAGGTAAGGGTATCTGCCCAGTTGGAAGATGTCAACAGGTGCCCCTCCTTCTGTGACTCTAACTACACATGACTTGTCTGTGACTTCTAAAACTGGAAAAAGATATGCACAAAACTTATAGTGGTATCATCAAAGAAAATAGGTTAGTAGTTTTTAAAGATTAAGGGCGTGGGGATCAAGTTCCAGCTCTGCCTACTCACAGTAGCAGCACAGACGGAAACTGAAGTATTGCAGAGATCTTACTGTTTGCACTAACAGAGAGGGCATCAGCCCCTCCACAGGGACACACATCTGTAAGAGGATCTACTGCCATGCCGTGCTAATGTTGTGATTGCCCAAATTAGCACCACTTAAGTAGAAAATTTTTGAAGTAGATTCCCCACTGATAAGTAGTCTGCCAATGCATACTTTATATATGGCCTTTGATTTTCTTTCAGTCCATCATTACCATCTCTGCAGTCCATCCAGCTGTGTCTTGCGTGCATGTGTATGAAGGCCAGAGGACTGCCTTGAACAAGACACAGTTCCGAAGTCCATATATACTGCATCTTGGTACCTTATGGCCTGGCTGCTGAGCTGTTCTCTGATCCCATTAGGAAGAGCAAGGGAGGGCAGTAGGATCTAATGTGCCTCCTCCTGCCTTCCTTTCCGCCCTCAGCCCCAGGCAAAGCACCACAGACTTCTTTCTGGAAGAGTCTGCTAAAGGAAATGTGATTTGGTAATCACTCTAAAGGTTCTGCTAAACCATGCCTGTAGAGTATCTGTTAGCCAGATCCTTTTGCTTGCGAATGTGTGTGCTTTAGAACAGGGTTTCTAGAACTGTCTCCACCCTTGAACCTTTGTATCTAACAAGAGTTTTATGTGGACCTGGTATATAGGAATATAAACTAAGTATGTACATTAAAAAATTTACTGATAATGGACCATAAGACTATTTATCTTAAAACAATTATTTGGCACATGTGTATGTATGTGTGTATCATTTATTAAAGACAAAAGGACATGTACATACTAATGAGATGGAAATGCTTAATTTTTATCTAAAGGAATATACCTTAGCTGAATATTTGATATTGCAGAACATAGAGTGTTCAACATGTTTCAGAGTTCATAGACATTTGATTTTATAATAATGCTGAGAATGTCACTTTATATAAACATGTACCACAAAATGGCAAAAGTGTTTTTACAGCCATTTCAAAAGTCATTGGAAATTCTGTCCTAATCGATTCCAAGTCATAATTCATTTTGCTTTTTTTCCCAGTGAAATATAAGCAAGCAATTCAAATAGTAATTTTTAAAAATTAACATTATAACATTTTTTATTTCTGGGTATGTGGTGTTTTGTTTTGTTTGTCTTCGTGTATATCATATATGTACCTGGCATCCACAGAGGTCAGAGGAGAGGGCATCATATCCTGTGGAACTGAAGTTGGGGTGGTTGTGAGCTGCCATATAGGTGCTAGGAATTGAACCTGGGTCCTCTATAAAATCATCAAGTGCTCTTAACTAAGCTCTCTTTCTCTAGCCCTCAAGGCAAACTTTCTTATCCAATCCAAGTATATACTAACTTAATACTTACATGTTGAGGAATGGTGGTAGGAAAGGGTTAAAAGTCAATAGTTAAACATTATGCTTCTATTGTAACAGACTGTTTCATATGTACAGTAAAAATACTGCATCGATAGCATGCAGTCTTCCCAAATCTGAGTGGATGTGTCCCAGGCATGCTCACTAGTGTTGCATTTGTGACAGAAAGTCCAGTGCAAAGTGCACTTGTTGTGTGTTCAGAAACAAGACTGTAGAGAAGTTACATGAGCAACACAGGCAAATGCTTCAAGAAACACCCCGGATTGATTACTTATTTAATTTTGAATTAATTTTGTTGCTGCCTATTAGAAACCTTGTCCTGCTACCAGTTGCTTTGCAACTCCTATATGAGGTCATGACCCACAGTTTCAAGATACCGAGTTTTACAGGGCCAACTTGTTTATGATGAGTCTCTACTGGTGATGAAATCAGAACTGGTGGGGATCTTTTAATTTATTTTGTGCATGTGTATATGTGCACTCCTGCCTGTCTGTTTATGCACCATGTGTATTCACATGTCCACAGAGGTCACAGAGGGTATCAGAACCCCTGAAACTAAAGTCACAGGTCACTGTGAGCCACCTGATATGGGTGCTGGGAACAGAACCCAGGTCCTGTGCAAGAGTAGCAAGTGTTCTTAGCCACTGAGCTATTTCTCCAACACCGTAATGAGGGTCTTAGGATAAGATTATGTTGAAATGTAAAACACAAAGCATGGTTTTTCTGTAATCTTTCTAATCAAATCTTCAAAAAACAAAAGGTCTTGGCCCCATATATATATTAAGGTTAGTGAATTAACACATCCATCTCGCATGCTCTTGTGACAAGAGCCACTGAAATCTACACATTTGACAAAATTTCCTATTGAAAATCAACTTTTATCAGCATCAGTCCTTGGCTAGAGCGATGGCTTAGTCGTTAAGAGCACTTGTTGCTCCTGCACCCACATGGTGGCTCAGACATTCATAACTTCAATTCCAGGGGATCTGACACCTACTTCTGACTGCTGCAGGCACCAGGCATACATACATGCATAGTAAAAGAGTCATAGTACACAAAAGAAGATCAATGTGAAAACATTAACTCCAGTCCTGGAAGTGTACATTATTACCTTTCTGGTTTTATGATACATGTTGCTTAGTAATACTTCCTTCATAACAATAACTTTCTTTTTAAAAAAAGAAGAAATAGAACCTACATCTATAAGGAACAATGTTTTAATGTACTGCATTAAAATTTTTGAAGAGCTAATGAGAGAAAAATCTACTTCAAATGGCTAGGACTCAATGCAAATCAATATTTTTCTTTAACACATTAATTATAAAATGTACTGACATTGTTAATCAATACTGGGTATATTAAACAAAGTGTTTTTCTTTTAAAGATATTCTGGAGTGTGTACAATAACATCCCTCCTGTGACCAGCCTGCCTTTGAGATGTAGTTATCACTTAATGAGAGGGGAGAGGCGACCACTTTGGTAAGTGTGTATGGTTCACTTGGAGGTCAAGGTGGGCGGGAAACACCTGTGAACCTCATGAGGACTCTAGTCACCTGTGGCGTGCCTCTTACCAAAAAGTGTGCCCTGCTTATCCAGGCCCAGGTCCTCAGAGGAGCCTGATTTAGCTTCCTTAATCACTTGGTATAGTAGTGAGGGTATTTGACAGTTAGTTTGCCTGGGCTGGGCCTCTAATACCAGTAAATCTTTATATCCATTAAACTTTCACAGTTACTTACTCACAAATAAAATAAAAGTCTGTCTCAGCTCATTTCTCAGTGAATGGGAGAAATGTAAATTGAAGAAAAACAACGTTGAATTTTGCTGGAGCCTGTGATAAGGCACCCACAGTTAGGACTTGGAAAATAGATCTCTCAAGTTCCACAAGCTAGGCAAACATCCTACCATAGAGCTACAGCCACATCCTTGCCACACCCAAACCATCTCCCACCCACCCCCTTTTTTTTTTTTTTTTTTTTTTTTTTTTTTTTTGAAACAAGGTTGGACAGAGTTGCTCAGTCTGGCCGTGAACTCACTTTTTAAACTCGGTAAACCTTAAACTTGCCATTCCTCTGCTTCAGTCTCCTAAATAGCTGGGGCTCAGCCTGGTGGTGGTGGCACATGCCTTTAATCCCAGCACTCGGGGAGACAGAGGCAAGTGCAGCTCTGTGAGTTTGAGGCCAGCCCGGTCTATGAAGCTATACAAAGAAACCCTGTCTGGCAAAAAAAAAAAAAAAAAAAAAAAAAAAAAAAAATCTAGGACTCACCACCATTGGCTCACCTTGGATCAGCTTTCTAGGCCTGGGCAATCAAGAGATGAGGAAGAAATGGTCTCATAAACAAACCTGAGATGTGAGTGTGGATATGGAATCAGGCCTACAAGAATGCCTTTTACAGGGAAATTGGGAAGTGGCTATTAAATCATGGTCCACCACAGCAACACTTGTTAAATCTGTGATCCAAGTTACATGTTAATTAAATGAGACAGTATCTGGAATATGCTTTGGAATGTATAGGTCTTCCCACTTGCAAAGTTGGTGTATCAGTTGTCCATCCTCAGAGAGTTAGGGAGCCCCTGGGTACCACTTCCTTGAGAATGAGAACCCTGCACCCATCCTCATCCCCATCACAGCTAATTCCAAGTTGCTCCCTCTCACTTCCATTCCCTCCCTTTTTCAGTCTTCTGCTTTTGTTCCCAATCATAGGGCTGGTGAATATTTACTGAAAAATACCTGTGTACTTTTGTTTTTCATGTCAGCTATTGTTAAATGGAAAGAGGAGTGCCCCTTCATCATGGAGTGAAACTTTAAATGTTGTTCTTTGATTTAGGGAGGAGGAGAGTAATGCAAAGGGTGGCGTGTGGAAGATGAAAGTTCCCAAGGACAGCACGGTATGTCTCTGCTGAACATCTGTCTGGGAATGGGGTTGAGCGTGTTGTGCTTTACAGAAGAAGTCTGCTGGCAGCAGCGCTGGTTTAAGAAATCCATTTCCATCATTAGTGATAGTCACTTAAGATGTATAATTGAAAATGCTGGATATTGTGGTGCATACCTTTCATCTCAGTACTCAGGAGGCAGAGGCAGGAGGATCTCTTTGAGTTCTAGGCCTGATCTACAGAGTGAGTTCCATGACAATCAGGGCTACAAAGAGAAACCTCTCTCTCAAAAAAGAAAAGAAAAGAAAAGAAGGAAGAAAGATAGAACAAAAGAAAGAAAGGAAATGTGTAATTGTGACTCTACAAAAGTTCATGCAATATTATCCCTGTATTATGTAGCCATGAGGTCTAGAGCCTATAAACTTTAGAACAAAACCAAAGATCTTCATGGTAGCTATTTCCTCATCAGACATGCCTGACATATGCAAGCTGATCTTCCACAGGAGATCAGGGTCCTTCCCACCAAAGACTCTGTCCTTCTGCCTCCAGAGGAACCTCCAGAAGGACCATGACATGGTAAATGGGAAACATCAGGGTTCCCCATTTATTGGGGTTCATGGAGCTGAGTAAGTTTCAGCAGTCTAGACTCTTACCACTTACGTTCATGTGTAAGACTTAAAAGTTACCATACATACATTAAGCCCTGGGAAACACAAAACTCCTTTGGAAATAAACAAAATGGAAAGGCATCCCTGGGATCTCAGAGGCTAAAAATAGAGGTAGGAGATTCATGAGTTCAAGTCTTACCTATGTTTTTCAGTGAGACCTTGTGATAAAAAACAAAATGGGGGCCAGGGAAGATAGCTCAGTTGGTAAAGTGCTTGCCCTGGAAGCATAGGGACCTGGGTTCCAATCCCCAAGCCCATGTGAAAAAAGTGGCTGTGCACACCTGTCATGGAGCCCTGGGAGGCAGAAATAGAAGGAGTCTTTGGGCTTTCCAGCCAGCTGGTCTAACCAAGACAGTGAGCCCCCAGTTCAATGAAAAGACCCTCACTCAGTCAGGTGGTGGCAGAGGCAGGTGGATCTCTGTGAATCCGAGGCCAGCCTGGTCCACACACAGCCAGGGCTGTTACACACAGAGACCCCATCTTGAAAAGCCAAAAAAGATAAAAGAAAAGCTCTCCTTACTCTCAAAAAATAAAGTAGAGGCATGATTAAAGAAGATACCAGAGATCAACCTCTGGCTACCATCTCTCTCTCTCTCTCTCTCTCTCTCTCTCTCTCTCTCACACACACACACACACACACACACACACACACACACACACACAGAGAGAGAGAGAGAGAGAGAGAGAGAGAGAGAGAGAGACAGAGACACACACACAGAGAGAGATACACAGCTAAGTGGGAGCCAGATGATGTGTATGAACCCCTCTGCTCTGCTAAGAGAGAACAAGCAGCAAATAGGAAAGATTTTATTCAGTTTCAAGAATGTTTCCCCCTTTCATGTATGTTACTGCACTTATTTGCTTGCTTACTTTTGATTCATGTGCATTATTTGGAATTAGACTAGGAATCACCCTAGACTCAGAACTGTAGTGGAAGCCCTCATGATGCCCACACCCATATAATTGTCCCATCCTACCTTGTGGGCTCACTTGGCTGAATTTAGGCCCCATTACATTTTCTTGTTTGGACAGGTGCCTGGGCTCGTATGTCTCAGTCCCCTACTAAAAGTCTGAAAGGCTAGAGCTGCCTGTGTTCAAAACAGAAGCACAAAGGCTCCGTTGCCCTGCTGTCCTCTCCCTCCCCAGCGTCACCACCCATGGACAGATAGAAGGGAGGGGCTAGGAAAGAAGACACCAAGACACCATCCTTTCTAGAAGTAAGCGTTCACTTTCAGCTCCCTCCGTAAATGCTGTTGCCTTGATCGAAAGGAAAGCAGCTGCTACAAGCTCATTAGAACGCAATAATAAGCATTGTTACAGTTAATGTGTACTGAGCGCCTGGCATATGATGCATGCAGCTGTTTATGGTGCTGTCTTAAATCTTGAGCCCTCTTGCAATTATTGACAAATGCTATACTTGCAACAACCCCATGAGATCAGTTATCCCCTCCAAGATGGGAACTAGAGAAGCTGATGGCCCAGGTCACAAAGAGTGAAGTGGGCATTCAGACTGGACTCTGGGAAGCTTCAAAGCCTAGGAACCATGTCAAGGGGGAGCCTAGATCTTTTCCAGGAAAAAAACTGGAGAGCCATTGTGTCTTCAGTGTCCTGTGAGTGGATTCTATCTACTTGACAGCATTAGTACTTGCCCTATAGAAGGAGCTCTGGCACTTCCCATGGGAAGGAGGCAGATTGTCATTCAGGCTAATCATTACTTCCAGGGAAATTGTGTGTGTGTACAATAATACATAAATTTATCATTCCGTGCAAACAACCTGTCAGCAGCCGATGGAATTTTGCAAGTCTCTAGCATTCAGTAAATAACAATGTTTATTAACATTCTTGACTTGAGTAACATCTTAAGTGGTTACATTTTAAGTACTCCATCAACTGTGAGAGAGAAACAAGGATTGTACTAACAGCACTCAAATGTAATGGGTTGGTACACTCTCAATCAGTAAGAGTTAAAGACACCAGGCAATGAGGTGAGTTGAAGGTGGTGTTCCCCCCCACCCCAGTTCCCCTGGAGTTCATGGGGACTTCACTAGTAGTCGAGCCCCCGGAACACTTGTTATTCGTGTGGGCAGTCATCTGCAGGCTGCTCCCATACCTGCATGATTGCACATGTTCACTTTTGTAATCTGGGGGTGTTTGTAGGTTCCAGATGTGGGTGGGGAGCTTGTGTTTCTTTCACACCTGATGGTAACTGCCTAAACATTGTCTTGTTTTTATTTCTATTCTCTCCTACCTCAGTCCATAGTTTGGAAAGAGTTGTTGTTAGCGACCATTGGAGAGCAGTTCACAGACTCTGTGGCAGCAGGTAAGGAGGCCACAGCCCAGTTTATCCACACCCTGGTATGCTTGGTTCCTGTTTGCTGCTCACGGAACTCTGTCTTCATGTGTTAATCTTTCTACCTGCCTGCAGGGTGTTGATTTTGTAGTTGTGATGTCATTTAGACTTGTGAATGATGTTTGGTGTGGGCTTTGTGTATTTAAGCACATTGCATATTTACATGTGTGTACAGTCAGTCCTTCCTGTTCTCAGATCTTGCATCCATGGGTTCACAGATCAAAAATAGTAGAAAGCATGAACAAAACAATATATACATTCCCCCTTGTTATTCAAGAAATAATGTAATGCAAACAACTTGCACAGTATTTGCAAGTTACAAGTAAAAAAGAGATGATTGAAAGTAAGTTTGGCCTGGCAGTATCCCTCTGGGTAGAACACTATCTGGTGTGTAAAAACAAACAAACAAAAAAAAACTGCTGCAAAATAAATGCCTAAATATTACATGCGAATGACCTATTACATAAAAAACTTAAGCATCCATGGTATGGAGGGGGTCAAGAACTTATCCTTCATAAATATCAAGGGCTAGATATATATTGCATCTATAAAAATACATGTGAATATATGTATCTATGAAATAATGTAGGCATATATGTAAAAGGACAGTTATAGCCATTCATTCATTATAAATAGTCAGAAAGAAAAGAAAAATCTTCATCAATGGACCAGTATGATTTGTAGTAGGTTTCCTGTGGCTGCCTCATCTCCTGTAGAGGGAAAGTGTCTGCCATGCCTAGTGGAAGCTATAGGTGGATAGGGACAGTCCTTTCCTTCTCTCTCAGCTTATTCCCTTCCCTTGTTCAGAAAGACAGACAATGGGAGGCAAAGCTGTCTCACTGTTCCTGCCCACAATCTCTCAGCTAAGGTTGAAACAAGAGCTTCAGGGACTTACCTTTGGAGAAGGCTTTGACATGCTGAGTGGCTTTCAGAGAACCCCTCTGAGCACAGTGATTGTGTGTGTGTGTGTGTGTGTGTGTGTGTGTGTGTGTGTGTTACGACTGGAACCCTGAACTTTATGCATCTAGCCGTGAGCTACGCCACAGCCACACCTCCTCCCCTCTGTGAGCCTTCTTAGTTCACCATTCAGAGAGGGGTTCACTGCTTCTATCAGGATCTCTTTTCTTCCTGGGACACTCTTCCCCAAAACTTCTGAGGATACATTTAAATTAAAGTGTTGTGGGTTCTTTTTAAAAATTTTTTTTATTTTGTTGTTACTGATTTGGGGGTTTGTTATTGTTGTTTTTGTTTTATGGTTTCTTTTTTTCTTCCATGCTACTTTTGGCTCTGGGTTTTATTTGCTGCTTTGTTATTGTGTTTTTGTGAACTGTGTTGGATCAGACTTAGGCTGTCTCTGAGAGCTCTTGTCACCTTGACACTCCTATGACCAATCTCACATTCACTTCAGCAGGGGGAGGGATGTGCTCGGTCATTCTGCCATTCTGTACTGCCTGTCACACCACCTTTGCTCACTTCAAGCAAAATGTGTGCTAAGATGAAATGGTTGTACAAGTGCAGGTTTCTTCTGTTCTGGTGGAGGAAAGCTAACCAACCGCTTTATACTGCACAGCCCACAGTGTGCCCTGTGAGAGCTGTAAACACAGAAGTCCCTGAACAGTTGATAAGTGATAGCAAATACCCAATAGTGAGCAAAGAAGGCCAATTCTGCGCCTGACCAGAAGGGAGGATACTATTCACTATTAACGTTCAGCACTTCTGTTAACCAGCTCTGTCACTTGAGGCAACCAGCTCGTCTTTCTCAGCCTCACTTAGAGAACATCTTTAAACAATGGCTTCTCCTGGCCCCACTGTCTTCTGCTGCCAGGGCTCTGCCACAGTGCAGGTGTTGCTGGCTGATTCTCCATGTGAGCTTTGTGTATTTCACCATGGACCTGCCTTCTCCTAAGAGCTGTGGGCAAAAGGGCTATGCTCAGCTATTCCTGTCTGCCAAAAGCCAAGCCAAACCGGAACAGTGACTGCTGCCCTGTTTGGCATCTTACCAACTACCAGTAGTGTAGAAAGGATAATCCCAAGAGATTGAGGACACTCATATCTCCCCACAAACTGGGTTCATAGTGTCCTGACCCTTCTTGAGGGTGAAATGCTGAACCATCTCTTTCTTTGTGCAGTAATTTTATTTTTTACATGAAATTTATCATTGAGTTCTGACAACTATATTATTTTAAATCCATGAACAAAAAATGGAGCAGTACTTTTCTTGAAATGAGAGATTCTGAGACTACATGAGAAGATGCAGTCTTGCTTTTGTTTTAACTTGTGTTTCAATGTGATGCATGTGCAGAAAAATCCCAACATTACAGCCGTGGAGCCTGGCAACAAGTCACAAAGTGAACATGTCCCTTTAGTGAGATTATAAATTAAGAAGCAGGACATAAAAGCCTTCTTGCCAACCAACCTTCTCTCATGAAGAAAAATGAGAGAAGGTTGGTTGGCAAGAAGGCTTTTTTCTCTTCTTCATAGGATGCTGTCAATGCAACTTTGAGCACCATGGTTTCATTTTGCCAGTTTTGAACAGTTACATCCATGTTCACAAGGTTTCAGATCATGCACCCATAGCCATGATCAAGTTCATTCATAAAGGAAAACAGGCAGAGAGGAAGGAAGGGAAGAAGGAAATGGAGGAGAGGGGGGAATTATTTCACAGAAAATGATTTCTTTAGGTAGACTGGGTATGCCACTATATAAACCACATTAAATACCAACATGTTCAAATGTCCAGGGGACAAGTAGAAAAATCGATGGCTTGAACGTTTCAACTTTCAGGGGATGGCAAATTAGCAGCATGTATGAGCTAACATAAGACTCTCTAACTGCTGCAATGCCTCTCCCTTTCGTGTTGCTTATTGTCACAGAGCATATAAGTACAGAGAAATGACTCTGCTTCATGAATGTGTCATGAACATGCAAAATCTGGCATCAAAAGCTGCCACTTCTCTCATTTTGCTGCCAGTTAGTGTGGACAGAGTGATTATTGCATGGGACCAATGGTGCAATAGGCCCATCATCCAGCCACCATGCCCCAGTGTTTCCATGCCAACCCCATGTTGGAGAGAGTCTACAGTAATCAGTGTAGGTTGATCCTATTGACCATTCATTGGTGGCCATGGTGGAGTGTCACTGGGGAGACACTCTGACTTTACTTTGTAGTGTTAACAGGTGGCTGTGAGCTCTTTAACCCATGGTTCAACCCATGGTGGGGGGGTTGTGATTGCTAGAATGAATCACCAGAGGGCAGAGAGAATAGGAAGAGAGCAGACAGACAAATCATGCAAAGTAGAGGAGCCACTGGACACACAGAGTCTGGGTCCTGCAGGTTTCAGATCAAATGGCACTAACAGCCCTAAGGCCTCCAAAGGCTTAGCAGGAAGTCACAATAAGTCTTACTGCTCTTAATAGAGAGGGCCAAGCTTCAAGCAAAAAAAAAAAAAAAAAAAAAAAAAAAAAAAAAAGAAGAAAAGAAAAAAAAAAAAGTTCATCCGAGTTCACTTGGCTTTCAGAGGGCAGAGAATTATGCAACCTATTTTAGAAAAAGTCTCATCAAAACAGAGTCAGAAATTGACAGAAAGCTTTGAGTAACATGTTAAAAAAGGGTAAAATTACTTATCTGGAAAATTCATTTGGCTTGAACACTCTGTTTATCGAGTCTCTGGCTAAAAGTGATGCAGTTCTTGTGGTCTCACGGCATCTGTGCCGACTTGACTTTCCCCATCAGTCTCCCACAGAAGCAGTCACAAGTCCCCATGTCGCGAGTGACTCTCAGCTAAAGTGATAGTGCTTAGATGTGGCCAGGCTGGCTTGTGGCTTCCTCATTCTTACCTTTTCCTCCTGTTCCCTTCAGATGACGAAGTGATAGGGGTCAGTGTGAGCGTTCGGGACCGAGAGGATGTCATCCAGGTCTGGAATGTCAATGCCTCATTAGTGAGTGAAGCTACTGTGCTGCAGAAGATCCATGAACTCCTGCCCCACGTATCTTTTAAAGCCGTGTTTTATAAACGTGAGTGCTTCATTTCCAATCACTGTTTTCAAGGTTCTTTTATCGGACTTGTAGAGATAGAAGCACGTTGCAAATGAGATGAAGGCAGAATTACTCGAAACTCTATTAATGCAGAAAACAATTCGACACAATACTCCTTTTAAGTGTTTTTTTTTAAATCAAGTTTAGTTTCAGAAATTAAAATGAGATTTTTTCTCTTTCCTAAGTACATGGATCAGAAAAGCAAATACACATTGTATTTGTTATTTCACAAATTTAAACTTAAATTTGTCAGAGAAAATTATATTCTATTGAAAATAATAATAACAAACAAAAAATCAGTGAGCTGCCAGGCAGATGGTCAATCAATCCTTCCTACACAGAAATTTATAATGTCTAACATCTGGACTTATGGGGGAGTTCAGGTATGATTGACAGTTCTACTAAAATGCTTCCACTCCCTCATTATGGTGACTGTGGCAGAGTCACCAAGAATTTACATGCAGTGGTACATACATCTCTTGGTGTGAACAGGTGTGTGGACCCATTGTTTCCATTGTGATTTTGTGTTTGTTGTTCTTGTGTGCTCTCTATAAACCAGTCATCTTTTTCATAATTAAAGCATCTTAACACCTTTGAACTGGTGTTTGATAGTTCAAATGGTGGGTTACACATTCAGGAGTGAGTTAAAGGAAATGATTGACAGTCCCACATACATTGGTGATGGACTTTCTATGTCCCAAACCATTCAGGGAGTCACTCACCATTTTTTCTTACTATTATATTTCATTGTCTCTAAGGTGCTCTTGAACGTAGAACACCCTAGTATCATAGTATTTAAAGGAAGAAAAAAAAAAATAAGAAAAGGTTTTCAATTAAACCAGGATGCATTGTTGACTCTAGAGGTTTTGAGATTTGCAGGGGCAGAGCAGGGGGCATCTTAGAATCTCTGAAATATACTCCATCATTGTCTCACTAGTCCTGGTCCTTGTCAAGAGGCTAAACAAATTCAAATTGTGTGATTGCCCTTGTGTTAGAGCATATATGAAAACTCAGGCCTCCCGAGAAGAGTCCTGTAGCCATCATCAAAGAATCAGGGTCCACACAGGGAAAGGGATCCCTCACTCTGTGGACTTAGGGGGTGCTGATCCTCTGAATTATAATAGAAAGCTCAAGATGAAAGAGCCTGAAAATGCACCCTGAAGAGCTTGGCTGCGCAGTGTGGAGACAGGACAGGCATACGGATACCATTAATGTTCCACAGGGACATGTCAACTGTAGTTCACTCAAGATATCAAAAGGTCTCCAAAGTGTTTTCTCATTCCCAGTCATAAGAATAACTAGAAAAATCTACAAAAGGAAATGTGATTTAGTGCCAAGTTCAAGTGGGCTCGAACTTGAGTCTGCCCAACCCTTGACTCCGAGGAGGAGAAAGTGGTTGAGAGTCATTGGGTTTTGACCACACTTCACCAGTGTGACCCTTAGCAGTCTCACTTTCTCACTTGTGTCCAGAAGGTTGGTCTCAAATGATCTCCAAGGTTCCTTCTTCTTTACAATTCCGTGAACAAATTGACAGGTGACAAACTGGTCAGCAGCTCAGCATGAAGTCAGTATCAACTTAGGTAACTAGGCTCCAGCTTTAGGGCCAAGGCATAGCCACATAAGAATGACCAAGAGTAGGGGATTCACTGCTTAGCTGTTAGAGTGGATGGCAGGAGGCAAGGTTGGGGGGAAGTGGGGATACACCGAGCCAGGAGAAAGGAAGGGCACCCAGACTGAGTGAAAGCTGAACAGACGCCCTGAAGGTAGTTGACATTGTCAGGTGTGTGAGTAGTAACTAGCTACAGCTGTAAGCAGAAAACTGCTCTTTAATGACACACTGTACCATTTAAAAGCTCAGAGTGTGCGGTTTAAAAATTGGAATCCCCAGTATTTGACATGAAGCGGGCTGTCCGTTACTTGGCACTGTTGCCAAGTTATAGAAGTGATCTGGAAAAAGATGAGGTCTGGACGGAAACTAGTTCTCAGGGTGAGGGACGGTCCTGGGTGAGCGAGGCTGGAAGTGGCCTTTTCACGCCACCTTTGTCTTAATGGGATCCTGGTGCTCTGGAGTTTGTAGAAGCTAGCTGGCTAGATGACTGGAATGCCAGAAGAATCCAGTACATCCAGTCCTGGCCTCCAGTGGGCTGACGAGGAACTGGACATTGGCACTTAATGTGATTTCTAGCCAAGATTGAAGATTTAAAGGAGAAACAAGATTTACACATACCCTCCCTGGTTCCAATAAGTTCCTTGGGAAGCTGAAAGGCAAAGGCCTTTATCTGGCGTGAGCACTGTGTAGAACCGGGATAGGAAAGCCGGGAACTGAAGCTTAGCCAGCCTCTCGCCCCCACCCCCACCTCAGTCATTCCATGTGAGTGAAGCAGAGAGCAGTCCTTACATCTTCACGATTGGGAAGAGGCAAACCTGTACTGTGACACATGAAAGTTCTATCATACCAAGTTTCAGTAGCTTGGTTGCATAAAGAAGCACTCATTTGTGTCCATGTTTTCTGTAGATTCTTCAGTAATCAGGGATTGCATGGGTTACTGCTAAAACGTCTGCTGGCTCCCAGATCTGAGAAGTCCATCTCCCCAGTGACAAATGACCCTTAGTGCCCAGCTTGTCACAGTAGTGCAGTGTATCTGCTGTTAACTTCTGACACCTGACACTTCAGTGGAACAGTTGTTGCTGCCGTGACTGAGCACACCTAGAGATAAGGAAAATCTTGATATCATCACTGTCTTTGAACTTATAATTTCCATATCAGCATTGCTGTCATTTTATGGCTCCTTAAATTGGCCCTGAAACATAGTATATGTCACTGAAGACTAATCTATACATTATTTGGGGTCTGCCCTATAACATCTTTGTTAAAAATAGGAACTAGGGTTGGGGATCTAGCTCAGCAAGGGAACCTGCATTCAATCCCCAAAATTCACATTTAAAAATAGCTTGGAGTAGGGCCTGAGGAGAGGCTCAGCAGTCAGGATGGTACAGTACTCTTGCAAACGATCTAAGTTCAGTTCCCAACACCATGACAGGCAGTTTACAACTGTATGAAACAACGCCAGATCTAGGAAATCTGACTCTCAGTTCTGGACTCTATAGGTACCCACACTCATGTACATACCACCATATAAATACATATAATTGAAAAGTCAATTGCTAAAGAAAATAGCTAGGGCTGGAGAGATGACTCAGTTGGTAACAGCCCTTGCTACATAAGCCTGATGACCTGAGTTCATATCCCTGCATCTGTGTAAAAAGCTCAGCATTGCCATACACACTGTAACCCCAGCATTATACAGGCAGAAACAGGAGGCTCACCAATACTTTCTGACCCTAAGCCTGTCCCAAGTTCAGTGAGAAAGCTTGCCTCAAAGGAGTATGTTAGAAGTGACAAAGCAGGACACCCAGTGTCCTTCCTCAGCCTCTAGACATGAGGCATAGTTACATGCACCAATACAATCTGGGGTACATACAGCATGTACACGTACCACACACAGCATATACATGTACATAACACACACATAGGCACGATACACACACACACACACACACACACACACACAGTTACACATACAGAAAGCGGAGTGTGGTGGTATCTACTTACAATCCCAGCACTGAGGAGGTAGAGGCAGGTGATCTCTGGGCCTTGCTGGCCAGGGCAGTGAGAGATCCTGTCTCAAAACATAAGATAAAAAGCATCAGGGAACAACAGAGATTATTCTCTGCCCCCCCATCCTGACAGTCTACCTCCCTCCCCCCTCTCCCTCCTTCCCTTTTCCCTCCCCCACACATGTACACTACTTCCTACACATGCATGTTTACCTACACATACCCAAATAAAGAAAATGTTGTAAAAATTAAATACTTAGGAAATTGAAGTGATGAGAGATGTGTAGTTAAACTTGGGCAGATATTAGGTCATCAATTCTGTCACCCTGGGAGTTACAAGGTGCATCTTTCCCAGTGGTTTTCTCTAGATGAACTGGTGCTTGGATTAGCTAACTGAGATGATCTTGAAGGACAGCTAACCCAGGTGTCCTCCCAAGAATAGGAGGGGATATGGGAGTGGAGTGTTCAACTCTGTCTCCCGTTACTGTCTGGAGGAGTAAGTGGACTTGGGCTGAATAGCCCTGGCTATATTAGACCTTGCCTCATAGTGACATCTAGAAACCCCCCAACTCAAACTTGGCCCTTTGAATTGCAGCTAATATTGCACATTTCCGTTTCCTGTCTTCCAGTTTAAGTCTTCAAAAAGCAGTTGTCAGTTTCCTAGTTAGTAATTCTACAAGACAAACTAGGAAACCCCTGAAGTGTGGGTGAGGGTTGGAGAAAATAATAGAACCATCCATTTTATGAAACATCATTTTCCACAGGTGTTGAGAAGCAGGGGGCATAATATACACCCCGTGTGGTTCTGTTTTGTTTTGTGTTATTTTATTCTTGAAGGTGGGCTTGTGAATGGCTCATCTTGGGTCATAGGTTCCCCCCTTCCCATGCATTTTTGTGAGGCTCATTTTCCCTGTAGCATTTGCCTAGAGCCCAACATCCTCTCCTCATCAACTTGTGTGGATGAGTCATCCCCCCAAGGCACAGCAAGGAGAAGCAGGAAGCATGCCCATAGCTTGTTTATCCTCATTTTAATTTTCATTATTACGTTTCTCAGGAAATGCACGCCTTAGCTAACAGTTACTGGCAAAATAAATAAATAAATAAATAAATATTAAAGAAAAAAAAAAAAAAGGTAATTGAGTTCTTGCCAACATCTGGGGAAGCTGAATGAGATGCCTAGAGGGGGGTTGGCCCATCCTTTGCTTAAAGTTTTCTTTCCTTCTTTTCCTTTTTGTTTTTTTCTGTCCTTTAGCCCATGAAGAGCATCATGCTTTTGAAGGTGGACGTGGAAAACACTAATTGCACTCTGTAAAGAATTCTTTATCCTTTGCTGATTGGTTTTGGAAACGGTCTTAACAGGAGGGAGAGTGAAGAGAAGACTTGCCGAAGCCCGATGCTGGTCCATTTAGAGTGGGTTTCTGTCCTTACAGACGGGGCCATTAGGACTCCAAGTGGCAGGTGGAGTTGGGGGAGAGTGTGTGGGTTTCTGCCATCATATCACTTGGGGATTTTTAAGATTTTTTTTCTTTTTTTTTAGCCTTCTAAATTCTCTGTTCTTTGCACTCTTCCCCCTCCCCATAAGATTCCTGATTTGGAGTAATTATTGTTTTCTGCACACCCTTTCACTGAGGCATAAGAACGGGGTTTCCCCTTCAGTGGCTCCACTGTACCTTGTTAAGGGACACCTGCCACAGGACTGCCTGTGAAGCCACAGGGCACCAGGAGGAAGCCTAGCCTAGCCAAACCCCCTTTCTGATAAATTGTTGTGACACTTGCCTACATACTGTGAGCCGGGCATTGTTTCCTTTGTGTGTGTGCTCCATTGAAACCATACCCATTGACAGCACACACATCTTAAGACCTTCTTAAAAAGCAGTGTGAGGAAAAGAAATTGTTGGTTTGCCTAGCATGAAAACTTTAATCACAATTGAGTGTCAGGCTCAAAATCAAACTCTAGGATTTGGGGGCCCACTGTGCAAGTATTTTGAATCAGAATCCCAATGTAACCTTTTGACAGAAGCCCATGATTTGTCCAGAGAGGAAAGCTGCTATTTCTGATTTAGAGAGGAGGCCATGTTTATTGTGTAGAATGAAGCGTCTTCCTAAGTTCCCACAGGTTTACCCACTCTCCGCATCAATTCTCACCCCTTGTGTTAAGTGGTCCATCCCTTTTTCCAGCCCCTGTCATATGTCCTTTCTGAAAATCGATGGCCTTCCAGCAGAGGTTGTCTTTTCCTGTCATTTGCACACTGTTGCAAGAAGCACCCAGGCGCTCACACAGTTGAACTTGAGCATAACTGTGCTATTAGATCTTGGATTATACTACCAAAGAAATACTGGTTTCAGTAGAAGAAAACATTTCAGAGTATTGCAACTCCTGGCAAATGCTCCTCTCTCCCTCTCTCCCCCGCTTGGTAATTAATGTTCCCTGGGAGAGGCCCTGCCTTCCCTTGGCTTGGGTGTAGAGCCTAGGACCATTGCGGTTTCTGTATTTCTCAAAATGGCGAAGTTGTCATTATCCTTGCACTGCTGTCCAGTGGAGAGATGGGGCTTCTCTAACCCTCCCACATGGATTTGTAAATAAAATTCTCCATTCAGACACTTCAAATGGCTCTCAGTAGCATCTGTTTGTAAGCACTCAGCCAAAACACTTAGCTCTCAATGTTTAGGAGGTATTTCTCTGAACGTAAGTCCCTCAACAGTTTCACTCATCAGGGGATTGGATACTTCTAGAAAAATCCCAGGATGTGTTTGTCTAAATGACGTGTTCTTCTCTGAACAATTTCTAAACTTGTTTAAAAAGTATAACTCAAGGATTTAAAACTTATTCTGGACATGAATTGAAATTCCTTTTTTTATAATATAAGTATTTTCTTATAAATTAACAAAAAGGATATAATTGACTTCCTTATTATAATTGTCATATATATATTTCCTTAAGTAAATAAATTTTGAGGAATTTTTATTTTTGAACTTTATTTAAAGCATTTGTGGTGACATGTTTAATTTTTTGCATGTATGTAGCTTTTGAGTAAAAATAATAAAATAAAATAAATAGGAATGTTAGGCTCATGTTAATGCTTTCGAGTTTCTATTGCTTATGAACATGAAACATGACAAGCACACAAAGTGGATTTTCAGCCCAGTGAACTTCTGCAACTATTTCTCTTTGGAAAACACTAAACAAGAGCAGTATTTAGCCTGCCTAATGTTCAGAACCTGTCATCTGGATTGCTTTGAGTGGATTTTGTCAAATTTTGCTTTGGAAATGGTTTTAATTGAATATTTACTCATAATTGACTTTGTGAGAACTAAGCTGACTTAAGCAGTTTAAAGCCTTTAGTTACCTCCTTAAAGAACTTGATGCTCTGGGGAGATAGAGGCAACATTTGGGGACATGTGACTTGGTGTCAGAGCAGTTCAGCCATGCAGGCCACTGCTGGGGCAAGTGTCATTCCAGTAGAATCTTGGTCCTTTAACCAAGTCCTCCAGGTATAGCCCTGTCTGCTCTGCAGAGAGCCACACAGAAGCCAAGAGGCTTGCTTCCGTATCCAGTAATCCTTCAGTCCGTGAGGCAGAGCCAGGAAATCTGGTTAAAACTGGTCTGTTTTCTTCACCATCCCATTATCCCCTAAATTGCCGTATTAAAGGCTCTTGCTTACATTGGGAAAGATGCACCCACTGAATCAGGACACATAGTAGCCAAGAAAGACTCATCCTTAAAGCATTTCCATGACGTGTAAACATTTTCTGAATGTTTTTAAGATTTGTTCTTTCACTTCATCTATCCCTTGTTTCTGAATTGACCCAGCAAACCTACAATGCTGTAATTTAATTCATGATTCCCATGACAGAGGACAAACATGAGAAGGAAAACAAGACTCTGAGAAACCATAAGGTTAAGTTCTCTAGATTCTCCTTTGCTTTAGCATGTCTACACTGTACACAATCATAAACTTCAGATAAATATAATATAGTAGCTGAGCCTTGACTGAACTTATCCCAGTTTGAAGGATGGAGATATAGTCATCAGGACAGCTGGGCAGTGAAGTCTGTGAACTATAATCTACACAGGTTTCCATGTAGGGGAGGCAATAGTGTCTGCCAGCCTATCCTTCCCAACAAGTCACCCTGATCAGTTTGAGCCTCTGACCCACTCTAGCTATAATAACAACATAAACTCAGACATTCCCATGTCAACAGCTACTTATTTATTCCCACTCACTCTGCTGACTGAATGACATTAGACTTGGGGTCTAGACACCATTGTAGTGTGACAGGAAGTGGATTTCTACTGTCAGAGGCTCCACTCCCCAACTTTGCTACTTACACTAAGCTGACAGCACTCACAATAACCACATGGTGGCGCTGCCTTCCAGCCCACTCTTCAGGACCAGAGGCAGAATGAGTCTTGCTATGTGTGTGGGATTACTGTAAGACCTTGCTGCATACTGCTATAAGGACATTACAAAAACTTCCTTTACATACAAATCATATTTAGCGATAGGCATTTAATTCTCACACACCTAATAAAAACGAATCACAGACAGAATGCTCCAGACATGCATTTAAAAATCTCAGCTCCTAGCCTCTCCTTGGCCTTTTAAGTAGTTATGAAGAGAAAAAATAAACATAAGAATACAGGGAGTTTTTTATCAATATTTGATTAGCAAGGCTAATGATGACAAACTATTAGGATTACTTTCTTTTTAGATAATTACAGAATTCTTTGAGGAATGCAAATCTTCCCTTCCCCTTCCCTGTATTACATGAATGTATGTGGTTTATTTCTTAATATTGAGATCACCTCAACTTACTCTTGAGAGTTTGGTGGCTCAGGGCTGTGCAAAGCCTGGATGGGCATCTCAAGAGCCAGGAAGAGTCACAGAGTAAAAGTGGGAAAGGGGAATGATTGAAAAAATTCCCTTGAAAAATGAGCTGCTAGGGCAAGTAAGATGGGTTTCCTCAAGGAAAAAAACCTGAACGGATTCTTTAACCATCTAACTAGACTTTCTGGGTATTTTGTTTTGTTTTGTTTTGGTTTGGTTTGGTTTTTATGAAGACTTCTTACATTTAGTTAATCTGCTGAGACCAGAAGTCATTATCCTTCCTGGTGCTGACAGTACTCAAGATTTAAAAGAAAACCCAAAGACATGGAATCTGAGAGTGGAAGGGACCTTCGAGATCATTCAGCGGTGTGTCTGACTGGTTAGCACACAGAAGGACCACTGGGGCGCTAGCTTATCAAGCACATTGCACAGCTGCACCTTGGAGCTTTGGGCATCTGCATTTTGAACTAGCACCATGCAGGTCTTTAAACCCCACTTTGAGAACCTCTGATTATGTCCAACTTCTACATATGCCTGGTGAGGAACCCAAGCTATCCCAGATACCCTGGTAAGGTGAACACCAACAATCTTGGGGCAAACCATTACTACTTAAATAGAATATGCTCAGACAGAGAAGTTTATGGCTAGTACCACGGCAGTCATAAGCAGCCCATTTCTGGAAGTCCATAGTATAAACCTTTAATATAGAACCATGGCTTTTCTCTTTTCTAAATAACATTCCAGCCTGTTAAGAGAAGAAAAATTAATGTTCAGAAAAGAGTAGCTACTCCATATGTGCAGTAACTACTTTTCTATAATGTCTTATGGCGTCTGGGGTTCAGCATCATTGAACAAGATTAAATGAATGTTACAGAGCTATAAAAGCGCATGTAAAATACCTCAAAACTGTTCGGAGGACTATCAGAGTAGCCGGGGAATGAGTTTCCACTAAAATTAATTGTCACTTTCCAAACGTAGCTTAGCCAGGCTGTTACTAAACTGGAGGGAGTCTTTAATACAAGTGTTAAAAAGAATCAAACAGGCATTCCCCAAAGCATGTGGATGGTAAGCAAAGGTCATCATGAAGTCAATACTTCTTCATCCATCATTGCTACTGAAATTTATAGTGTCATTGTATCTGTGTGTGTCAGATGTGCTTATTAGAATATCCAATAAGCTGTCCTTTGGATATTCTATGCTCTGTGTCCTTCTGAAATCATGGGTTTGCAGGAATGTGTGTTACATGTTACAGTTTCGGTTGCTGCCACAACAACAACAAAAAACAGTTGACTTATTTACTGAAACAAATTTCTGTTTGAACTCTGAACATTAAGATTTGATTTTTTTTTTTTTTTGAACAACTGTTTGGGAAGAAGTGTTTTATTTGGGATTTGTTAAACTGGCAATGTCTGTGTTACAAAAATGATACTGAAATCAAGCTTCAGGGTTTCTGGTGGGTAATTAATGTATCTGTTGTTTTGTTACATGCAAAGAAGCAGTTTTTAACTAAAAGTGGAAAAGGAAAAGCAGAGTGTGATTTTTATTATTATAGAATGAATGAGAACTATTGACTTTGAAAATGTTAATACACATATAACATGCTATTCTCAAGTGGAGATGTTTTGTGAGCAAATATTAAATCCCTTTCAAATTTCTCTGACGGTAACCAGGAAATGGGGTTTTAATCCACTGTGTGTATGTTTAAGCCCTGTTGAGGCTGGCTCCTTGGTGTTCGCTAACCCTAAGTCACCATGACCTTGCACGTACCCTCTGGGAGCGTCTGTCTGTTTCCACTGAATTAGTACCCAAGAGAATTTCAAATTTAAACTCATTGCACACACTTCAGCTGGTGGCATCTAAGCAACATTTGTCCCACGTTGGTTTGAAAGTGATTCATTCTTTCAAGCCCTCTTACCTGTGTAAGCCAAACCAGGTTTGCTTGCCTCATGTTTCAGATGTACTTGCATCCCTCTCCCCTCCCCCACCACCCAATTTTATACCATCTGTGCCCTGTGCAGTCTGGGACCCCTTCACATCTGGCTACAAGCTGGTGCAATGCCCTTCCTTTTGATCTGGTCTCATCTAGTGATTTGCTCAGTATTTTTAAGGTCAGACTGGAAACTTTTTCTGTTCTAGTTATTTTTGATTTTATATCTGTGTGTGTTTGATGTTCAGATACATGTGAAAGTTGCTCCTATAAGCCAGTAATTTTTATTCCAGCCTTTTGCAGCAATAAGGTAAGTCAAGCCTGTGTTCTTCTCATTCAGAAATGTAGTGATTTATATGTTTGGTGCAAATGTTTATTCATACCAGAGTCTTTGCTGTTTTTGCATCTGGGACTCAATTGCTATGAATTTATTATATTCCTCCTTTTTTTTTTTTCAAGAAAAACATTTAGAATGTGCTTAAGAGTTACTGTTTCTCAGGACTTGATTTTGAGATCTTTGCTCGTCTGTCGCCACTAATTCTAACTCTGGATTTGGGTTCATGTCATTAAAAAAAAAAAAAAAACTTTTTCATCTTCTGGGTTTAAAGTTTCATGCAGTTGCATTATCTTAATTGTAACTGCATGTTTCAAATATATATGGTGGTTGTCGTAACCCAGTTCATTCTAGCACAACACACAGCACAACTCTCTACCAAAGGGCTCTAATGTGCATGGGCTCCTTCACAGTGCCCGGAGTGTAGCAGGGTCTATGTGACTGCTTGTTTCTGGTTTATGGAATGAATGCAGTTGCCATAGGACTCATCTTGGCTTCATGGAAAACATTTTGCATATTCAAATTCCTTTTTTTAACCTTTTATTCAGAATAGCTTAAGTACATTACATCTACTACTTTCGTTTCTCTTTGAGTGCTACAGTGTGTCCATGTGGTTCAATTGCCCCCACCTAACCAAGCAACATGAATTGATTCTTCCTTTCTGGTCTCATAATACATCCCCTCAGAGCAAACAGAAACACCTGAAAACTCTTGTGTCTTCCATTGATCTCTATGGTTTCCTGTCTTACTGTAGGAGCAAGCAATTCAAAATTATGAGTGTGATGCCCAATTAATTTTAACACAGCAGATTTTAATGAAATCTGTGAGGGGGCAGGGCATGCCACAGAAGAATTTAAAATGTCATACTGCATCCTTATATTGGAGTTCGATTCCCGTGGTTAGGCATGCTCTGTTGATGTTATCATTTAGTGGGTACTGAGGTGCTTTTGGAACGTGCTGTTGGTTGTTTT